CATCCGCAAACAATTCATTGCTCTCAGGTTCTTCCACCATCTGTACATACCCTTTGGCAGCGCAGCTGCCATTTACTGTGACGATGCACTGTTTGGACATAATTTGGTCTCCAAAGACCTCTTCAATTACTCCGACTTCGTTGGGGAAACGTAATACTTAATGGTAGGTTGATGCTACCGATCGCATGGCATGCAGCCATGTCCTTCCCAAGATTATGTTATAAGTGGAAGGGACTTTCAATACCCAGAATTTCACTTGTTTTGTCATGCTTCCTGCTCTGACTGGGAGGATTACCTTGCCCACTGGCCACTCTGGCATTGAGTTGAATCCGATTATGAGAGATGTTGCAGGCGCCAAGTCTTTGTCTTCCAATTTCAATTGTTTGAAGGTTTCATACTACATTATCTCACACGAGCTTCCTTGGTCAATCAAAATCCGTTTGATGTCAAAATTCTTGATGCGATGAGTGACAACCAGTGCATCATTGTGAGGGCAATATATCCTTGCCAAGTCTCTGTCTGAAAAAGATATAACATTCGTGGCCTCTTTTCTCCCATTTTTTATGGTAGGTTGTGCACTTAATACCTTCCTTAAGTGCTCAACCTTCTTGATCATTCCCCTGAGCTCACATACCCGTTCAGGTTCGTATACCCAATGTATTACGTTAATCACGCCTTGAGGTGAGGCATCGATCGACATTCCGTTTGGGTTGTCGTGGTTCTGGGGGGCTGGCTGTGTCCCTCATTCTATGTACTGGTCCAGGTGCCCAGCTGCCACTAATTCCTCCAAATGCTGCCTCAACGGCATGCAATTTTCAGTGCGGTGCCCCTTTTCATCATGGAAGGTGCACCGGGACCTTTCGTTATAGTCTTTATGTGCTTCTCCCAACTTAGCTGGCATTTGGGCTGGAGAAAGCCCGAAGGTAGTGGTGCGTTCTCAATTGCCGGGACGAACGGTGAGCTTTGTAACCTTGCCAATGCTTTATCTGTTGGTTTGTAAGCAAGGTGCGGTATTGGCATTCCTACCTCAACGCTCCCAGGCGTCCGAGGAGCCAACCACTGAAGGGCTGAAACTCTACGCGGGTCGCGTGCCTTGGTATCCTCCTTCCATTGGGCCCTTTCTTCGAGCACAGTTCGCAAGTCGGATGATCTAGGCAACTCCGTGTGCCTAGATGACGTCTGGTGGGCGTGCGAGGGCCGATAGGTGCTTCCCTCAGTATATGACCTCTCAGTTCTCGTTCTCTCAGACCTAGAGTAACGAGTCCTGCTAGTCTTTGATCGAGTGTCGACTGTTCTTAGGCTCCTACTCTCTGCTTGCGATGGAGTGGTATGCCTACCACGATCTTCTGAGTGGCGAGGAGGCGTATTGCTTTTGCGCCCCTCTCCTGTCGCCACCCCTTTTCCTTTTATCTAGCACTTCATTGACTCCATGTCCGCCGCCATCCTTCGTATCAACTCGTTCTGCTCCTTTACGTGATCCTCCAGAACTTGAGGGTCCATCCTCCGCCTTTGTCTTTCAGGACTTTGAGAGCGACGGGGGTTGTTAGCCCGCCTCTCCCTTGCACCCTCCGGGGGTTCTGTCGCTGGGGTTCTAAATCCGCCATGGGAGGGATAGAAGGCAAACCTTCGCACCTCCCACCCCCCTCAGGGGTTTGTCCGTCAATAGCGGATTGCAGAAAATCTTCGTTGTGCATCATTGCTTCCAATTAGAGAGGAAAAACTTGATCAAAAGGTTTTTGTTCTTTCTGGAATTCCCACAGACGGCACCAATTGTACGAGCACGAAATAATGTTATCGTATAATTCTGTTGATCAAGTCTGTGCTCCTCCGTACGTCATCGCTTTACTCCCTGAAAACACAAACGTGAGCTAGTCGGCGGGCGTGTGCCGGATACCTCTCTAATGCCCAAGTCAGCAAAATAGACAAATAGACAAAAGCTCTGTATATTCCGAAAGTCAAAGTCGTGTTACCTCTCCATAGGTGATGCTGTGAGCTTTTATAGGTTCCGCGTGGCACAATCCTAGTAGGACTCTTATTCCTCCATGTAGAGTTTTCCTAGGAATCACACTCTTGAAAGATAATGCTTATCCTTCAACACCCCCCTCATTGTTTCAACCAAGTGAGATGGTTTTATCTCGGTAGTATGACAAAACGACCGAGCTAACATAGCCATGCTAAAGTGGCAGAAATGACCGAGCTCCAACTAGCTCGGTTCTTCGTATCAACTCGTCCTGCTCCTTTACGTGATCCTCCAGAACTTGAGGGTCCATCCTTCGCCTTTGTCTTTCAGGACTTTGAGAGCGACGGGGGTTGTTAGCCCGCCTCCCCCTTGCACCCTCCTGGGGTTCTGTCGCTGGGGTTCTAAATCCGCCATGGGAGGGATAGAAGGCAAACCTTCGCACCTCCCACCCCTCTCAGGGGTTTGTCCGTCAATAGCGGATTGCAGAAAATCTTCGTTGTGCATCATTGCTTCCAATTAGAGAGGAAAAACTTGATCAAAAGGTTTTTGTTCTTTCTGGAATTCCCACAGATGGCGCCAATTGTACGAGCACGAAATAATGTTCTCGTATAATTCTGTTGATCAAGTCTGCGCTCCTCCGTACGTCATCGCTTTACTCCCTGAAAACACAAACGTGAGCTAGTCGGCGGGCGTGTGCCGGATACCTCTCTAATGCCCAAGTCAGCAAAATAGACAAATAGACAAAAGCTCTGTATATTCCGAAAGTCAAAGTCGTGTTACCTCTCCATAGGTGATGCTGTGAGCTTTTATAGGTTCCGCGTGGCACAATCCTAGTAGGACTCTTATTCCTCCATGTAGAGTTTTCCTAGGAATCACACTCTTGAAAGATAATGCTTATCCTTCAACACCCCCCTCATTGTTTCAACCAAGTGAGATGGTTTTATCTCGGTAGTATGACAAAACGACCGAGCTAACATAGCCATGCTAAAGTGGCAGAAATGACCGAGCTCCAACTAGCTCGGTTCTTCCCTTCATTGCTTGTACCTCGGTTTGGTCCGCTGAGACCGAGCTAAACGCAGTAAGCTTAGACCGAGCTAACGAGAGTAAGGTCCGTCACAAGAAGCCCAAATACCTCAGTTCTGAATACCATAGCCGAGATAAATATTATCATACCGATCGTGGTAACCACAACCACAATTGGACCGAGCTAACTGCAAGGTCCTTTCACTGGGCCCTTTTTACCACGGTCCACGGAGCGGCCCATTACCTAGTTCGGCCTAATTTACTCATAAATTACCTTCTCAGAACTCTAAAGAGAATTTTAGTGACGTGGCACGAAATGAGATCCACATGTGATATGATGTGTGTGTTTATATTTATATTTATATTTTTTTATTTTTCCTTATCATATTATTAAAACTCTTTTTAAAATTTCAAAATTAGAATTCTATATCATTATTGATACTCTATATAGTGACTATGAAAGTAAAACGTAATGGGTATGTTCACATTTGAAAAGTTAATTTGCTTATTGAACAAAAACGTTTTAGAGTTTAAAAGGAAAAATTATACACAGTTCAAAGACTCTTTGATAATTTACTCCAAGGGTATGTTTGATTGATATGATTAGAGTATGAGATTGATATTGTTAATTAATGGGCCTAATAATTCTGTATTTATTTTGAAATTTTATTTTAAGATTATTAATTTAATGAATAATTAATCCAATAAATTTATAAGATTATTAGTAATGGAATAGCAGTGAGATTATATATCTAGAGTTGAGAAATAAAATAAAAAAACTCTTTTACCTTCATATGTTTTCTTATCTAATGTAAATCAAAAAATGGATAAGAGAATAATTTATCCAACTTATCCAATTGGATAGTGAATACCACACTAATTTGATGGGATTATTTATATTTTCACTGTTAGTCTTATGAATCAAACATGACCTAAAAGTATAAATTACATTAACTTTTCTTAAGGTTTGAAAAAAATATAATAAGTTTTGCCACTTTGACATATTTACATGTTAAGCTTTTAATTCATTTAACACTTAATGGAAAAAAAAAAAAAAAAAATCTATGTTGTCATCATTTCTTTTATACTAAAAATTTATTCATCTTTATGTTTTTATATTATTTGTATTAGTTTTAGTTTCTTTAATTTTATTAAAAAAAAAATTGTATAGTTATATCAAAATTATAAAATTTACTATATTTTTCAAATGTTAAAAAAAAAAAAAAAAAAGTTAATGGAACTTATCATACTCAACATATAAAAGTTTTTTGGTTTGGTGAGAGATTAAACAACTAATAATTTTTTTTTTAATAATTTCTTGTTGACTAGCTTTTTTTTTTTTTTTTGGTTGAACAGCTTTAGACATGAGGTCTCCTTCAACCTGTTTTTATGTCTAATTCATTTGCTTTTGGCATCTCCAAATCATTTTTATACCTTCATTCCATCAACTAATTCTTGCCATTGTTGTAGTTCATTGCTCTCAACTAGCATCCAAGTTATTGAAATGTTTTAGCAAAGTGGGAGCTTCTTTGCTTATCAACTGGCATCCAAGTTATTCGTCCAAAAAAATAAAAATAAAAAAATCCTAGCATCCAAGTATCTGAGAAAACTTTGGGTTATCATTCATTGAGGTAATTACTCAGTCTTAATTGATTTATATTTATACTTAAAATTTTGTTAATATATATTCTTTAGGATACATATAAATTTTTTTAAAAAATTATATGTTAAAAAAATACGTGTAACAAATAATACATAATATTTGTAAGTTTTCTAAACTTATACGGTAAGACTAATAATTCACAATTCAAACAAACTTTAATATTTGCAAGTTTTCATAATTCAAACATACCGGACAAAAAGGCACAAGAATCAGCCGGTAACAAAAATTTATTAGTTTGTGTTTTGTGACATTTTTCATTATTTTATTGAGTATTTACTTTTTAAAAAATAAAACTAATTTGGTAAAAAATAAAAAATAAAAAATAAAAAATAAAAAACAAATTAAACCAGGTGAATTACACATCATCACTTTAACCTCACTTCCCTCTCTTTCTCTCTCTCTCTCTCTTCCGCTGTCACCTTCAGCGATGATGGTGGGCGGTGCGAGGCGCTTCGCTGGAGGGGGTTTAGGGGGCTGTTTGTTTTCCGACCCAGAGAGAGAGAGAGAGAATTAAGAAGAGGAGATAGGTAGAGAGTTTATTGCAAAACCAGTCTGCTGCACCATCAAAAACCCAACCAGAACTATGCAAAATGATGAAATAGAGGCACAAAACAGAGCACCAAATTGAGGCATTTCCACAAAGTACAGAGGAGGAGAGGGCTGGAATTAGAGATGAAGTTGATGCAAAAAGCCTCTGTAGTGAATTTGACAATGTTCAATTCAGGTTTTTATTCATTTCTGCCAAAAAAAAAAATCAAATTTTGATGGTGCTTGAGCATTGTGATTACACAAATTGCATCTGTGTACAGTGTAATTCTTGTTTTATCATTTGTTCCAGCATAATTTATATTTAATAAATGTGCTAAATACATTTCTGTATCTGTACATGTATAAGCTTCCATTATTTCACATTTGGTCTGATTCTTTTTCACAAAAGATTTAAGTGCACAGCTGTGAAGTAGTAGTGTGCATTTGATGGAAGAGGGCACACCAATGGGAGGGGGAACACAAAATGGACCTGAAATTCAGATTGTAACTTCACCTCAGCTGATTGCTCCTTCTTGTGATCTACTCTCTCGTAAGCTCTCTCTTTCCCCATTGTTTTTTCAGGTGTGTATTTAGTGAGGTAAATCCTACTATGTATCCACGAACTTCGTATTCTATGTAACAGAAATGACGAGGCATACAATATTTGTTTGGTCATTAAGAATAAAAATGTCCTTGCTATAAAAATTTTGTATGATTAGCATTTTCTTGAAAATGGGGCGAGAAAAGCAGGTTTATGTTATAGTTATCTTAATGACCAATTTTTAGTTATGCCATAAAATGGTTTCATTATCTCTGCTTTTTTGTTTATTTGATTTAATTTTTGGCTAATTGTGATATTAAAGTTTTGGAAAATTGGATACGATGATATGTGCTTCAAATTTTACACAGGAGAAGCTAGGGATCAGTATCTTGCCATATGTCTACCCCTCTACCAAGCTGCTTTGAAGGGTGACTGGAAAGCTGCTAATGGTGTCATAGAAATATTTCCAACTGTGATACGTTCTAGTATCACAAAAGGGTGGGAAACTGCACTTCACATTGCAGCAGCTGCGAAGCGCATTCACTTTGTGGAGGAGTTGGTGGGACTGATGAATCCTGAAGACTTGGAACTTCAAAACAGTAATGGGAACACTGCCCTATGTTTTGCGGCTGCTGCTGGAACTGTGAGAATTGCTGAAGTGATGATTAACAAGAATGAACGCCTGCCAATGATCCGTGGTAGTCAGGGAATGACACCACTGTATATGGCTGCTTTGTTAGGACATAGTGACATGGTATGGTATCTCTACCAAAAGACTAAGAGTGAAGATTTGTCAGATGAGGATCGAATTGGGATACTCAATACCTGTGTTAGTACAGATTTGTATGGTAAGTAAATATTCAAACCTTTTCTTTTCAGCCAGCCTAAAAAAAGTTGCTTTGAGTCACTTCTTGATTAAGATATGCGTCAATTTTTTAGTGCAACAAACTCCAACCCATTTCTTGTCATCATTAAGTACTCCCTTCCATCATTTAATGGATTGACAAATATATTGGAACAATGAAGGACAAGAAAAATTAGGGAAAGTTATATATGGTCTTTGTAATTCGACTGTTGTGTCAATTTTGGTCTCTATAGTTCTAATTGTATGAATTTTACACCCTTTAATATTTTCACATTGTGTCAATTTAATCCAATTGATAATACTGGTTAAGAAATTGAACAAAAGTAAAGGGTAAAATGATCCATTCAAAAGGGAATGAACCATTTCAAATTGGACACCAACCCCTCAATCATTTTGAGGAGAGTGAATGGACTATTTTGTGCATTAATTTCAATTCAATTTTTAGAAGGGCGTTATCAATTGGACTACATTGACACAATGTGAAAAATTTGAGGGTAAAATCGATACATTACTGGTGTGAATCCTAAAAATTGTACATGCCAGAAAGAAGTAAATACAAATAACCTAAATGGTTGGAGAATCTTTAGCAGAACCTAAATTCTAATTAGGTAGGTGAAATATAGCATGCCATTTCGTTTTGCTTGTTCTCTTAGGCCAAAATTGGCTCGTTTTTTTATTTTTTAATTTATTCGGTCATATTTTGGTTTAGAAGAATGCTAGAAGTATCCAACAGTAAATCGTGTCCATAATTACTTTTCAATCAAACATAAGTGGGCACAACAAAAATACAACACTTCTTTTCATCTTATAGTTGTGAAACCTTTCTTTTGAAAAAAAACACACACACACACACACTTAGGCTCTGTTTGGTAGAGCTCTCTAAACTCAATTCTACCATTACATTTGAGTGTGGTATTTTTTGGTTTAGCAAAATGGTGGATGCACTTATTCCACTTCAATGCTTTTTGGTCAAACACAAGGAAAAGAAGATGGTTTTCCACTAAATAAAACAAACTACGACAAGATTTCCCAAAAAAGAAAAGAGAAAATAATAATAAGAATTTTTTTTTTAAAAATAAACAATTAACTAAATAAAATAAAAATAGCTAAATGAAATAAGACTAAACAACTTTTGCATCTTCTTGTTGTGTAACTATTATATATATTGTTAAATCTATCTACATTACAGTATTATATCCATGTATCTCATTACAAAATACACCATAGGTATCTTTGAAACATTAACCTTGTCGTCAAGGTTTTAAAAAGCGGCCGCAACCATTACGTAACGCCGTTACGTAACGGTTTTGGCGGTTATCGCCACCCATTACGGCCGCTTTTGCAGTGTGATTGAGATTCACAGGTGTGTCGGCCGTAGCGACTGCCGTAGCGGTCGTAACGGTGCCGTAACAGCCTGTTACGCACCATTACGTAGCGGTTCCAAACTGTTTCTTTCGAAAAAAACACACCAAAAAAAAGTTGAAAATGAAGGAAGAGAGATAGAGAGAAAAGGGAAGATAAAAAGAGAAAATGGAGGAGCAAGAGATAGAGAGAGAGAAGAGGAAAGATGAAGAACATGTTATTGATTTGTTGAAACTGTAAGACCTATACTATTCTATTCAGCTGCTATCACTAAACCATTTTGTTTGTGTGTGCCTATCTATATATTGTTTGAAAATAATAATAATAATAATAAGTGTGGTCATTATCTATTTGGCTTGATTAAAATATGTATATATATATATATATTTAGGCTCTTATTTATTCTCTTACTTTTGTCATTGTTTATCTTATATATAATAGTTAGTGATTGATTTTTTGTATAATATAAAGTCATTAATTATTAAAATAAAATGTAAAAAACTCAGTTTATAGTGATTTAAAAATATGAAATATATTGGATCATACTTAAAAATTTATAAAAATTTATCAATATTTATTTTTAACCCAATAAATATGATCATGGAAAAAAAATATGCGTATCGGTGAGTTTTTTTCAAATTGTGCGAAAAATAAAAAAATTCACGGTTTCGGTTACCGCAACCGTTACACTACGACCTTTACACCCCGCAACCACAACCGTAACCGCAACCGTAACCGCATCACCGCCACCGTTACAGCGACCGCAACCGCTTTTCAAAACCTTGCCACCCACAGTTGGCAGTGGCTCGAGATGGGAATGGTGAGACAGCATTGCATGTATTGGCTCGAAAACCTTTAACATTTACTGGTGGAAGTCGGGTTAGCATGTGGAAAAGATTCATCAACACATGTTAGTTTCTCCAATCATCTCTTCTCATCCATGTAGTTTACTAGCTTCTCATGAATAGATCTGCTCAATGGGGGGGACATTCTCTTACAATCCTAGGCTTCATCAGATAACTCGATGGAAAAGGACTAGTAAATTGTGAGTTTAGACTCGGTAAAAAATAAGTAACGATTCTTTCAGTTTGGAGTGGTCGGTGAAGTATTTATACCAAAAAAAATACAGAACAAAATGATCTGAAGCAACTGAGAACACTTGAAGCACACCTGTGTATAATATGGAGTCTACTTCTTCATATCGTACAAAATGATATTTCCCAGCCTACATCTTGACAACAATATTATCTTTTGAAACTTACTAAAAGAGGTCATTGGCTCCATTGAATAAATTGCATTTTCTGATAAATGCTTTTGTTGTAGTGCATAATTCTTGACCTTTGGAAAATTTACATATGGATCTGATTAAAATAGTTTCTACTTCCTACACTTCATCATTTCCCCAATTTCTGATTTTCCACCTATGAATATTGTTTCGTTTAAATGCTTTATTTGATAAGTTTATAATTTTGGAGGATTTACACCTTTCTATCATACCTAACTTGTTACTACCTTAGCTGCTTGACCTACATGATCATTCACTTTAAGTGAGTTGGCTCCTCATAGTTTGCATACAAGAATTTAATATATGATGGTATCCTCTTTCCCAATCCCTGATTGTCTTTTGATGTGTTGAGCTTTGGAATCTTCATTTGAAGCCATCAAATACTGGACCTATTGATTAGGGCTGTTCAAAAATCCGTTCAAACCGGTAATCCGAACCGAGCTAGACCGAACCGTACGGTTTGGTTTGGTTCAGTTCTATTAAGAACCGGTTCAGTTTTGGTTCAAGAAATATTGAGAACCGTAAAAACGGTTCGGTTAATGGATTTCATGGAAAAACCACGGTTCAAACCGAACCGAACCGAACCGAATTTTAAAAAATATATTTAAATATATATAATATTTAATAAATAACAGCAGTCCTTGAACAATGCGTAAGTATTATTTAATAAGATATATATATATATATAATATTTAATATTATCATATCAAGTTTTATTTTTATTAATTGGCTTTTTGTAATTTTAATGATATTAGGATGATATATATATGTAATGTTGAGTAATGCCTTAATGTTTTTAGTTTTTATCATGAGTTAAATATAATCAGTTTGAGTAATTATTTTTCTAATATTAACAATTTATTCTTGTAAATAGAAATTTTTGGAACCGTGAACCAAACCGCAACCAAACCGCAACCAAACCGTTATTTTGGTTTGATTCTGGTCCGGTTTTACAAGTGTAATGGTTTGGTTTGGTTCTCAAAATCACAGAACTGTTAGGATCGGTTTGGTTCTTGGATTTTCTCAGAACCGAACCAATCCGGACTGTGTACACCCCTACTATTGATTGCATCATGTGGGCGCTTGTTGAGATCTTTCTAAGAAGTTCAGGATGGGATGAGAAGGACCATACCATTGTTATTTAAGAAAGTATTGTGGTAAAAATTTCTCTTGCAAATAGAACAAGGTATTCTCAATGAAAATCAAAGATCATGACGAATAAATTAAATTTCATGTAGATTACCAGACAGTAAAAAATGCTACTCTATCAAAATATTGATTAAAATGTCAAGATTTGAACTTGAGAGAGTAAGAAAAATGCATGTCATTAAGTTTTGGAAATTCACAACCACATCACCTGATTCTCGATACATATCACTCAGTATTTCTCATACCGTTACACCAAAACTGTTGTTGATTCATCTCCCAATACTACCATTTAGAACCATGATGAAGATTGTGTCAACCACTATTGGTAGAAAAACACAACTTTATAAAGAATAAACGAAAAATAAGTTTTATTTTATAATTATATTGTTTTTATGTTTGCAAATGATACGAAGATTGTACCAATTGCTCTTTTTGACCCTTCTCTTGCTCTTATTTTAAACATTCTTCAAACTGCTAATAATTAGTGGGTTGTTATTGCTGCTTTTATTGAATAATTTTCTCTAGAAAATTCATGATCAGGTAAAATGCTTTGTTCTCAGTTCCAGGTAGGAAGGTAGGACATGACAAAAGTCTGAAGCAAGCCCAAGCATTTGAACTAGTTAGATTGTTATGGAAAATGGTGATAAAGCAAGATGATTCAGAGATTTCGGACTTGATCCGAAGCCCTTCACGACTTCTCTTTGTTGCGGCAGAGCATGGAAACACCAAGTTCTTGATTGAGCTTATTGAAGCTTATCCTGATTTGATATGGAAAGTAAATAGCCAGAACCAAAGCATATTTCATGTTGCCGTTTTACATCGTCATGCAGGAATATTCAATATTTTATATGAGATAGGCTCGATTAAGGATTTAATTACTGCATATAGAGTTGAAGATCGTAACAATATGTTGCATTTGGCTGCGAAGCTAGCACCCCCAAATCAACTTAATATTGTGTCAGGGGCAGCTCTTCAAATGCAAAGAGAGCTACTGTGGTTTAAGGTAAATGTTTCTACTCGGTTAGTAATTTCAAATTTTTGATTTTTCCTAGTGCTTTACATAACTAATTTTACTGTTGGCAATATTTTTCTAAAAACATGATTGAACTCTTTAAGTCCAACATGACATCCACATTGGCACTTGAATTTGGTGGGTTTGCAATGGACTAACCATATCATTGGTGAATAAAATCATAGTTCATCAAAGAATGAATCATGATGAAGAGCAAAAAGGCCACCAATAGCTTCTTGTTTCTAGCATAGGTTTTGTTTGTTATTTCAAATGAGAAATCAATCAGATTATACTTCATTATTGCGCCCTTCTCTAGCAAACTTTATTGCTGTAATGTTTTAAAGATTCTATTTTCATAATAATTGATTTTTATAGTTTTTCATAATATGGTCCCTTGTCAATGTGATGGTCATGGTCCTGAAAGATTTAATGAATGCTCATTTCAATTGTTCGAAAATTTGTTTATCGCTCTTACCTTCTATTTTCTTCTCAGAAAATACTATAAAACTCAAAACGAAAGAAGTTTACAAATTTTTCCGTACTCACAGACGTGGCATACAGTAATAGAAATTTTGCTGGTTTTTGTTCGTTGTAAGGTGTAGATGACCTAGTGCTATTCTACTCGTCAGTTTGTTACCTTCTCTCTTTCCCCATTTTTGTTGTGTTTTATTATCTCCAATAAAATTTTACTTCCTTTTAGTGGATAAAAAAAGATTAAAAAAAAGAATTTATGAACTTAAAACAGGACCCACTAAAATAGTGTGATCAGAGCAACAAGTGGTAGTTTGTAAAATTTGTTAGTTTGAATAGCGTAACTCTACCTTTTCTCTCTTTTTATTTTTGTCCACTTAGTGAAAGGATAACATCTATCATTTTTGTCATTGCAGGAGGTGGAAAAGATTATGCAACCTTCATATGTAGAAAAGAAAAACTCAAAAGGCAAAACAGCTTTAGTTACTGAGGAGCACAAAAACTTAGTTGAGAAAGGGGAGGCATGGATGAAGAACACCGCCTCCCAGTCTATAGTTGTTGCAACACTTATAGCCACCGTAATGTTTGCTGCAGCTTTTACTGTACCATGCGGCAATGATAACAATACAGGAATCCCAATGTTTCGAAAGGATAGTTCTCTCATGGTTTTCGCAATATCAGATGCCATAGCATTAGTCACCTCTTCCACTTCAGTACTCATGTTCTTATCTATACTCACCTCACGCTATGCTGAAAATGATTTCTTGGAATCATTGCCCATTAAGCTCATGATTGGACTCACGACACTCTTCATCTCCATAACTACCATGATGGTAGCTTTTGGTGCGACATTTTTCATTATTACAGTGAACAAAATTTTAAATAGAATAAGGCCTCACTGTCTGATCATTGAGATCAATTAATCTCAAGTTGATGCTAAGAGTCAAAATTTTAAGGCTTTAAAAATGGAGTACCAATGAATATGAAAGGTCTGTCCAAAAACAAAAAGAAATATGCAAGGTTGAAAACGCAGATGGTTCTAAAATACAAAAAAATAAAATATAAAATAAAATAAAATAAAAAATTAGGTGAACATTGTCTGAATTACACAAATTTTTTGCTGCATCATAATTAAGAGTACCACTTGAACTATTATATTATATTGGAGAACATCGAATAATTAGCCAGTCTTGGGCTCAATTAAAAATATATTTTAAACTTATGTCACGTAATTTTTCATCATTTAAAAGATAAAGTTATATGTATTAAATAATATATCAATTAATATATTACAGATTATGTGACATCATTTTAGAGGTTTTGTATCTTTGTAATTTGTATAATGGGAGTGGAATCGTAGTTTTGAAATGACAATCTAATTAGTACCTTAAGTAGTACATGTAGCACTACTATTATTTAAATTGCCCCTATACAACTATTCAGTTTTTTAATTTTTAATTTATTTTTTTTCCCCTTCCATCTATCTACCTTTCAATTTTTTATTCTACAAACACGTATGCGCACCGCTCTGGTGGATCTATAAATATGTCAATAGTCTCTCTCCCAAGGCTAATGAATTTTTCTAAACCCTAAAACCCAGTGGCCGAAGCGTTGATCAAGAATTAGCAGAAATCGAAGCCAAACACTTTGAATCTGAGTGATGTGACAATTTTTTGGGAGAAATCTAGGTAGTGTTTGGTAGTATTTTAAAATTATGATTTGAAAATAGAGTTATATTTTGAGTTTGTGAGTTTTGAAATTATGATTTGTCAAAAGAAATTTTGTTTAGCTATGAATTTTGAATTGAGTTTTGAAATTTTTGATGTGACATGAAATGAGAAAATTTGCTGGATTATGAGTTTTGAAAAGAATTTTCAAAACTTAATTCAAAAACTAATAACTTATAATCAAACACACAACTCAAAACTCTATTCAAAATTCTATTCAAAATTAATAACCAAACTCTTTTTAAAATTTAATTCAAAAAAATAATTTGTCATTTTGGTTTTAAAAAAATAATTGCTATATTTAAAAAATATCAAAAACAAATATTTTTTTCCGAAATAACAGGTGACGATTGGCAATTGCAAAAAATAAAATATAATAATAATAATAATAATAATAATAATAATAATAATAATAATAATAATAATAATAATAATAATTTTACACTTTTCTTGAAAAATAATAATAATAATAATAATAATAATAATAATAATAATAATAATAATAATAATAATAATAATAATAATAATAATAATAATAATAATAATAATAATAATAATAATAATAATAATAATAATAATAATAATAATAATAATAATAATAATAATAATAATAATAATAATAATAATAATAATAATAATAATAATAATAATAATAATAATAATAATAATAATAATAATAATAATAATAATAATAATAATAATAATAATAATAATAATAATAATAATAATAATAATAATAATAATAATAATAATAATAATAATAATAATAATAATAATAATAATAATAATAATAATAATAATAATAATAATAATAATAATAATAATAATAATAATAATAATAATAATAATAATAATAATAATAATAATAATAATAATAATAATAATAATAATAATAATAATAATAATAATAATAATAATAATAATAATAATAATAATAATAATAATAATAATAATAATAATAATAATAATAATAATAATAATAATAATAATAATAATAATAATAATAATAATAATAATAATAATAATAATAATAATAATAATAATAATAATAATAATAATAATAATAATAATAATAATAATAATAATAATAATAATAATAATAATAATAATAATAATAATAATAATAATAATAATAATAATAATAATAATAATAATAATAATAATAATAATAATAATAATAATAATAATAATAATAATAATAATAATAATAATAATAATAATAATAATAATAATAATAATAATAATAATAATAATAATAATAATAATAATAATAATAATAATAATAATAATAATAATAATAATAATAATAATAATAATAATAATAATAATAATAATAATAATAATAATAATAATAATAATAATAATAATAATAATAATAATAATAATAATAATAATAATAATAATAATAATAATAATAATAATAATAATAATAATAATAATAATAATAATAATAATAATAATAATAATAATAATAATAATAATAATAATAATAATAATAATAATAATAATAATAATAATAATAATAATAATAATAATAATAATAATAATAATAATAATAATAATAATAATAATAATAATAATAATAATAATAATAATAATAATAATAATAATAATAATAATAATAATAATAATAATAATAATAATAATAATAATAATAATAATAATAATAATAATAATAATAATAATAATAATAATAATAATAATAATAATAATAATAATAATAATAATAATAATAATAATAATAATAATAATAATAATAATAATAATAATAATAATAATAATAATAATAATAATAATAATAATAATAATAATAATAATAATAATAATAATAATAATAATAATAATAATAATAATAATAATAATAATAATAATAATAATAATAATAATAATAATAATAATAATAATAATAATAATAATAATAATAATAATAATAATAATAATAATAATAATAATAATAATAATAATAATAATAATAATAATAATAATAATAATAATAATAATAATAATAATAATAATAATAATAATAATAATAATAATAATAATAATAATAATAATAATAATAATAATAATAATAATAATAATAATAATAATAATAATAATAATAATAATAATAATAATAATAATAATAATAATAATAATAATAATAATAATAATAATAATAATAATAATAATAATAATAATAATAATAATAATAATAATAATAATAATAATAATAATAATAATAATAATAATAATAATAATAATAATAATAATAATAATAATAATAATAATAATAATAATAATAATAATAATAATAATAATAATAATAATAATAATAATAATAATAATAATAATAATAATAATAATAATAATAATAATAATAATAATAATAATAATAATAATAATAATAATAATAATAATAATAATAATAATAATAATAATAATAATAATAATAATAATAATAATAATAATAATAATAATAATAATAATAATAATAATAATAATAATAATAATAATAATAATAATAATAATAATAATAATAATAATAATAATAATAATAATAATAATAATAATAATAATAATAATAATAATAATAATAATAATAATAATAATAATAATAATAATAATAATAATAATAATAATAATAATAATAATAATAATAATAATAATAATAATAATAATAATAATAATAATAATAATAATAATAATAATAATAATAATAATAATAATAATAATAATAATAATAATAATAATAATAATAATAATAATAATAATAATAATAATAATAATAATAATAATAATAATAATAATAATAATAATAATAATAATAATAATAATAATAATAATCCAATTATTGAGATTAATTAGTCTCAAGTTGGTGCTAGAGTTTAAATTTAAAGGCTTTAAAAATGGGATACCAATGAACATGGGATCACACTTCCAAGGATGAAACTTCAGTGGAAATGACAAATAGTTTAAAATACAAACAAAAATTCAAATAAGATAACATAAGCCACTTTTCCTATTTCATTTTCTCACAAAATGCGTGGACAAAGTTCAAAATTGACGGCAATTAAGTTGGAAAAGCTTCTATAAATCCGCTGGACCTTTGAATATATTTTGCTAGACGTTTTGGAGGAAAATAAAATATTAGGTAATGACGTTGCTTGAAAATGTTTTAGTGCGAATTACACTAACAGTCTTTATAATTTAAATAAAAACAATTGAAAACATTGTTACTCCATTTGAAGTGCAAAGTTATCATACAATTTTTTTTGTATTAGTTAACTTATATGTTGTAGGAAATATAATAGCCATTTTTTAATGAATAATGTTGGAATTTTTTTGTTGTAAAGTTGTATTTGGTTTGATTTTCACAATCTATTTTCAAAATATTTTTCTAAGAAACTAAAAATTAAATTGGTAAAAAAAAATTTAGAAACGTATCATTTTTATATAATTTTATCTTTTGAAAAGGTAGACATAATTTTTTTAAAATTTGTTTTCGTTAAAATAGTTTTATTTTTTCAAAAATCAAACATGACGACAACTTTGACGTCATTATTAATCAAAAAATCCAAAACTAAAAACATTTTATATATTAAACATATTAATGTCATTATTAAACCAATCCATTAAATCAAAAAATCCAAAACTAAAAACATTTCATAAATTAAACTGTACGAGCACGAAATAATTCTTCTCGTATGATCCTGTTGATTAAGTTTGCGCTTCTCCAAACGTCGTCGCTTTACTTCCTGAAAACACAAATGTGAACTAGCCAGCGGATGTGTGTCGGAAACCCCTCCGATACCTAAATCAGCAAGTAGACAAAAGCTCTGTGTATTCTAAAGTAAGAATTGAGATACCTGTTCATAGGTCCTGTTATGAGCTTTTATGGATTTCGCCTGGCACAATCCCACTAGGACTCTTATTCCTCAATGTAGAGTCCTCCTAGGAATCATACTTCTCAAAGATAATGTTTACCCTTCAACACCCTCCTCACTGCTTTAACCAAGTGAAATGGTCTTATCTCGGTAGTATGACAAAAACAGCCGAGCTAACTTCGCTATACTTAGGTGGTAGCTTTTACCCTGCTTCACCTAGCTTGGTCCCACCTTGCTCTTACAATTCTGCTCGGCGTGTCCACAATCGATGCCTTAGCTCGGTTACTGTCCAACTATACCTTGGACCAGGGTATATGGACCGAGCTATTTTACAGCCATCTCTTCAATCGAGGTAACTGTCACCATACTTAAACCGGGCTAAGAAAGCTAGGTCCAATTCACGAAGTCCTTTTTACTATGGCCCACAAACCGACCCATTGCAATGACTTCACCTAGCTCGGCCCAAATTTACACATTTTACCCTCTTATAAACATATCGGCTATATATTAAAAGGCTAATAATCATAATAATTGATAATACAGTTATGATACAACGGGTTCCAGAGGGAATGGGTCGGACTGGTCCACACTTCTCCAACCGTTATCTGGATGGCCAAGCTCACCTGAGAACCTGCACAGGAGTTCAATGGGGAACGGGGTGTCCCCCAACGAACCCTCCGACGAGCAAGTTAGAGAGAGAGAGAGAAGTGAAAATGTAGAGATATGAATTGGAGATAGAAAACTTAACCTTCTTCTTGTCTTCAATGTCTGCTTATATTCTTTGGTAATCATTTCGCCGTCCCTTCCGACTTACCACATTGGCCGAAAGTCTATGTTGTAACTTACCTTGTTCAGGATGAGAGGGTGCTGTTCTGACGGAGAGGTGTTGTCGTAATAAATGCTGTGATGGGCTGCATTAATGACGATGTGCAGTGGCAATAACTTTGCAGATCTTTGTCTGCTGATGTGGCTTGTCCTTTACCTGCCACATGTCTGAATATCATTGGCTCTTCGTGCCATGTTGGCTTCCAACTGTTCAGGATCTCATCAGTTGGGTTATGTGTTGGGCTCTAAGTGATGGGCTTGGGTTGTTCATAGTGGGTTATGACCTTTGTGGGCCTAGCCACGTCAATAATAATTATCCAAAAATATCTATTAACAACAAATACGATCATCTATTGCATGATAACCATCTAAAAATATCAATAAAAATAACTACTTATTACATGATCATCATCCAAATACATACTAAAAATTAATTTTGTAAAAAAAATTAAAATAAAAATGTAAAATATTTATCATTTTTATATAATATTACCTTTGGTGAATTTTTAAAAAATTAAAAATAATTTTTTGATATTTATTTTTATCTAATTAGTTTATATTTTATCAAATTGATGACTTTGTCTTTCAAATGGAGTAACAATGTTTTCAATTATTCTAATTTAAAATGAGATTCAAAATTTAAAATCAAATATATTACAATTGAAAAATTATGAATCAAAGTGACACAAATCTCAAACTACAGAAATCGTTATTGTAATTCGTCCAATATTTTACGTAAATAAAATTAAAAAATATGTTAAATGTGTCATCTTTTATCTTTTAATTATTTAATAAAAATAAATTAATATTGTTTTATTTATAAAAATTTCAGCTACATCATAGGTTAAGAATACCACTTGGACAATAGTACTACACGCTAACTGACCACTGTAGCCACTCTTCTTTGGGCTCAATTATGTCATGGATTTTTCTCATATCCATATTATTTTTTTATAACTATTCAATTTTTATAATTTTATTTTAAATTTTAGTTTCAGTATATGAAACACACAACTGAAACCATATATTAAAATTATGTCAAGCACTTTTTTATACACAGTTTAATGAAATTTTTTATTTCTTTCTCTCTTTTTTTTTTTTTTTTTCATTTGCATTCAATTTTTTTTATTCATTTCTATATACACGATTTGCAAAATGGATATGTAAATAGGTTACTCCACATACCCGTCAGGAAGTATTACCCCTTAGAACTCACAATGCATCTACAGAGAACTCCACCGCACTTACGTTGGAACCGAAGCTAAGGCTCTCCGCGTGCTATGGATACTAAAAAGTATGTTTAACTCTCACAATAAATTATGGAGACTCGAACGCAAATTATGAAGGATAAATTCGAAGGGCTTATCACTAAACTAACTCCTAATGGTTATTCATTTCTACATATGCGTATACTTTTTTTTTTCAAGAATGAATATATATACGTGTATTATAGCCTTCTAGTATATTTATCTACAAATAGCCTCAAGCATAGCCAGCCTACATTTTGTTTGTACTGTGTCTGTGTTGTTTGAGTTATAAAAATTTAATTTACCCAAAAAAAAAAAAAAAAACTATGAAAGATTCTATATTTTATAAGCTATAATGTTAAATCTTTCATCTGAAATATATTCTTGTCTTTTATCCATTTTGTAAAGACACTTGATCATATTGAGTTGTTTAACTAGCCTCTGGTTGAGATTTCAGAATTTCATTTTTAGGTATATTATACTTGGAAAATTCTATAGCAGACATCCCAATCACAAATTTGTGTAATCTCGCCACATATTGATGTAAAAAAAAAATCGTAATCAAACCACAAACTTTGTTACATGGATCACAAAATTTTGAATATTTTCTTACATTAATTTGTGGCAGTGTTACACTATTCATAATCCAAATTATCCCTGTACACTATTCAAATTTTTATTTATATATATATATATATTTTTTCTTCCATCTACATCTAGTTTATTGTTCATTTGTTATATACAAGGCACAACTGATAAAATAATTTAAATTATACTCAAACTATGAGTATTCAGGTCATAAGTCTATTTTTTAATCTTTTAAGTCATCAGATTCAAACTCTAATATTTTTGGATTAAAAAAAACATAATTTGTCTAAAAAGACATTATCTATTGAAATCAAATAAACCTATCTCTTGAAATCATCCAATTTGTCTATCGGTTGAAAATTCATCAAGCCTATTTTCTTATCTGTTAAAATTCACCAAAACAACCTATATGTTAAAACGACTCCGTTACGTAGCTCGAATATCAACGGTTCGAATGGCTCGAAATCCCAAAACGACGTCGTTTTAGAATGTTTTTTTATTCTCTTACCGGTAAGATAATATTTTCCGTACCATTCGAGCCTCACTTTCTCGAACTACGGAGCATTTTCCATGTTAAAATTCACCAAGAATATTTTCTTATATGTTAAAATTCACCAAATAACCTATATATTAGATTTTACCAAACCTGGTTTTCTATATTTTGAAATTCACTAAACTTCATTTTTGAATTCACAAAATTCATTTTTTTATCTATTGAAATTTATATGAAACATGTCCGTCATTCAACATTATATTTTTTAAATATCACACATTCTTTTTTCTCACTACTACTTGTTGTCACCGGCGACTTCACTAACCAATTTTTTATTAACTTTTTTCATTGCACTTTTCATGTGCGTCATTATAACAAATAAAGAAAAATGTTTGGGACCTCTAATTAGAGATGCCACTAATGATGCACTGCCACTGTCAGTGCTATGTCTATTTTTTTTTTCCTTTCCTTTTCCACCTCATTAGAGGTGTGTTTAGAGCCTCTAAATTAGAGGTCTCTAGCATCACTGACAAATAAATTTTTCCCCTGCATCTAAGCTGACACACTCTTTTAGGATAGACTTTCACCAATTTTCTCTTCAACTGCTGCCCACTATTTATTTCAATTTTTTATTTATTTCGATTTTTTTTCTTTCTTTATTTCTTTCACCAATTTTTCTTTCTACCTTTCAATTTTTTATTCTATAGACACGTATACATACACTTCTGGTAGATCTATAAATATGTCTATAATCTTCCACTATTTGCAAATATGAAAACATAAGTCTAATAATAAGTAATATACACTTCCATTCTTGTCTCTCTCCACAGGGCTTATGAATTTGTCTAAACCCTAGAACCCAGTGGTTGAAGCGCTGACCAAGAATTAGCAGAATTCGAAGCCAAACACTTTGAATCCGAGTGAAGAACAAGGACTCAGAAGTGCTCCAAGCAATAATTGAGACCCAAGGTTATCCCGAGTTTCATTATTTTTATGCAATCAATAATGGTTTTTTGGGTGTTCTTATGTGATGTCTTATAATTTCAATTATCTCACTTTTGACACTGAATTTATAATTTTGTCTCAATTTAATTTAAGAGATTATAATTTTTATTTTTTTAATAAAAAAATAAGCACATAAACTATACGTGTCATGCTTTCATAAATAAAATTATAAACATGTTCAACTTGGTAAGTTAAGCTCAACTACATCAATGATTAATTTCCTTCAAACACCCTAATTAATATTATTAATTAAACCAAATTGACATAAAATTTAAAATTAAGGATCAAAATCGAACTAATTAAAATGATAAAGAGACCAAAATGACTCCTTTTCCCCTTCCAAATTGAATTAAAATTGTATGGTAAACTCCAGAGGCTGGTGGATTTTTTTTCTTTCAAAGGGATTATTATATTTTTTAACCATGATAATAATATTTTGGTGCGTTACTTGGCAGTTGAAAGATAAAAGATTATTTCACAACAAAGCAATGGAGAAAAAACCAGGGATTACATTGAAAAACCGTTCAGAATCTGAAGCTCAACAAGGCCTATGGCTTTCGCATAACTTGAATCTTCGAGACAACAAAACCATGAAGTACCTTCCTCCCTCCCAGCGAGCAGGGCTGGCCCTGGGGTGAGGCGATTGAGCCGGTCACCTTGGGCCCCCAATTTTGAACAAAATTTAGGGCCCCCAATTAGGGGAGTGTATCATGTCATGTTATTTCATAATTATTTTAATATTAGCTCAATTTATTTATTTTTATGTTGTCGTGTGATGTTATTTTGATTCGTATTCGATTGATGTTTAATATGAAAACTTTCACTTTTAGTTAAAAATAACTTAGCAAGCGTATTGAGAGATTAAATTTTTCTCATAAGTTGAATTTTATAAAATTTATTTCAACTAAATGAAATTATTCATAGAATGTTTGATTTTAATTCAATTGCATTTTTCTAATTAAAAAAATTGTACCTTGTTACTATTTATTTTTTATTAGATTGACTCTAAAATAGGTAACAAAAAAATATATATCTTAAATGAAAAAAAGATATTAGCTTTAATTATTATTTTACATACTTTTTTATTCAGTTAGATAGAGTTAAATAAAAGATTAAAAAAATCTCATGGCATCCCTTAGTGAACATTGAAATATATAACTAATAATTCATGTTATTGAGTTGTGTCATACTTGGATTCATGTTGAAAATAGTCAACCTTAACTTGCTAATTTTATATATTGCTTGAGTTGTATCGAAAATTCTCATCCTTACCCCCAATTAATTTTTGTTCTTATAGCATTGGTAAGTTAAAAAATAAAGATTCGATTCAACTAATTGAAGTTCAACTATTATATACATATATATATATTTGTTATTTAAATTTTATTAAATTGTAATGCAATAGAAATAAATTTTTATCTTTTTTTTTTATCCAAACAAATTTTTTTATTTCTTTTTGGATATTGATATATGAAGGGCCCAATTTAAAAAATTCGCCTTATGCCCTAATAAGTCAGGGCCGGCCCTGCCAGCGAGTACCTTCATTGTGCCTAAAAAACTCCAAACAGTATTCGCATTGGAGGAGAAGAAGACAGTGGAAGTAGTAGGCAAGTTGATGATGAGAAACAAGCAAATGCATTCCTTCGTCCTTCCCAGAGAATATCTTCATCGCTCCTAAAAACACTAACCACTGTTCGCAATGGTGGAGGAGGAGAAGACAGTGGAAATAGTTGGCAAGTTGATGATGAGAAACAAGCAAATGCATTCCTTCGTCCCACACAAAGATTATCTTCATCACTCCAAAAAACACTAACTACTGTTCGCAATGGTGGAGGAGGAGAAGACAGTGGAAATAGTAGGCAAGTTGATGATGAGAAACAAGCAAATGCATTCCATCGTCCCACACAAAGATTGTCTTCATCGCTCCAAAAAACACTAACCACTGTTCACAATGGTGGAGGAGGAGAAGACCGTGGAAATAGTGGGCAAGCTGATGATGAGAAACAAGCAAATGGATTCCTTCATCCCTCCCAGAAACTACTTTTATTACAACGGTCTCCTACTCAAATGCCATCTACTTCCAACCTCATGCGTCCCCCACATGACTAAAACCGAGTTAAAAAGACTACCAATTGATGTCAAAATTCCAGGCTCCATGTTATAATTGCTTGAAAGAATAAACCTGGCCGTGTCGTGTGACAAAAAAAGTTGTTAGTTTTTATATATTTGTTGTTGTGTTTGATATATGCTGTTGTTATTATCCTTTTGCTTTTAGATGACATCAAAAAAAAAAAAAAAAAAAAAAACCCATCAAACCAGAGAATGGAAAACCCCAAAACTCCACCTCCTCCTAACACCAATATTACAACATAACATGAGAAAGAAAAAACAGACACAGAAAAACCAACCACCCATGTGAAACCAACAACTGCAACATAATGAGTGAATCGGTGTCCCAATAAAATTGGCACCTAATAAGACTCGCCCGATCATATTCAACCACCAAAAGGAACACCAAACAGTTGGTGAGACACCAAGCAAAATCAGACCCCAACATTGAAATCAAAACCTTTTTATGATGAATAGAGCATATATCAAGTCTAAACTCAGTACATGATGGATCCAAGCCAAGTATAGCTTTCATATATGCAATCAAAAGCACATAAAGACAGCATTCAAATCATCAACTTATTAATAACCTTCCAAAGAAGACACCCCAAAAGCAAAAAATCAGAAATAGAATTTTAAAAGCAAATTAATTCCTGCAAATAAAAGTTAACAATGATGCGATCTACATCATGGCTAAATCACTGCATCCCAACTATATTGACACCGAGAAGCCAACAAATCCTTTACAAGCATCGAAAAAAACTAACAAAAAGACCATGGTACTACACGTAACCAACGAAAGTATCACAAAGAGCAAAATGAGTAGAATTCACTTTTAAGAGTTTTTTTCTGTGTCCAAATTCAGAGAAGATCTAGAGCACTACCCATTATACTATACTATCAGTAAATCAAGTCACTGTCAAAAACAAAGAAAGGAAAAATTATGAAAGCCCCCATATCAGGAGTCTGCTTTAGGCCACGAAAATGGCAGAGCCGACCCTGTTAATTGTGTGGATGTGGCAGAGGCAATGACAATAGTGGTGGTATTAGAGTGGTGGTGGTGGTGATGGCGGTAATGGTGATAATGTGAAAAGGTAGGAGGGATGAAGACAATACACCTCAACAGTCACAACAATGGCATAATCGTAACATATTTAAAATTGAGCATTCAACATTCAGATTTGAGTAAGAAGTTCGTGACTTAATACTTTGGCCTACTTTTAGACCATCTCCAACCACTTTACAAAAACAAATAAAGATCACGTTTTTTTTTGTGTGATGTATGTTATTTAATCACACCTTTTAAGTTTTATTAAAGTGTGATCTTTGGGAGTGTGATTAAAAGTGTGATTAAAAATATTTAGATCACATCTTTTAAGTGTGATTAAAAATATTTTAATCACATCTTTTAAGTGTGATCTTTGGAAGTGTGATTAAAAATGGTCATTTTTAATCACACTTTTTAAGTGTGATTAATAACATTTAAATCATACCTTTTAAGTGTAATTAATAACATTTAGATTACATCTTTTAAGTGTGATTAAAAATATTTACATCACATCTTTTAAGTGTGATTAATAACATTTAGATCATATCTTTTAAGTGTGATTAATAACTAATAAAATCTGTGATAAAAAAAGAATTCGACATATTTGAAAAATAATCAATATTATTTTTGTATGCACATTTGAAGAATGTAATATACACTATATACTATATTTTGAATCATAACTACATATTGAATAGAATAACGTCATATATTTCATAAATGGAAATTAAATATTCAAAAGTATATACAAAAGAATTAAATAAAAAAAAATTAACTGTGCTTACATATATTAAAAAATGAAAAAACTTAAAAAATTAAGTTCTTTAATTCTTGAACCATATTTTGCATCTCTCCAAAAAATTTCTGACCTGAAAAATGAAAACACAAATTAATCCAGAAACCGTTGATTCATATGAATAAACTAAAAAGTTAATTCAGCAAACCAAAATATGAACATTAATCATTTCTGCTTGATCTTAATCCTTTTGGAATTAACTTCCCTGTTAACAATTAGATGCCCTAACAACTCAGTGTCAATGACATTGTAATTAGGAGGTCACTAATGAGCACAATATTTAAAATGATAAATCTCAATACAGCCTGTGTATGATCTTTTTGTGAATGTATATTATTATTACTGTTGAACCATAATTCTAGATACCCATAAATAAATAAATAAAAACTCAAGAATTTACTTCATTTTTTTTTTTTTTTTTTGGTAGGGGAGGGAGAGTACATACATTGCAGTCTGCATTTTCTTTTGCACCTTTGGAGGAAAAAGAAGAGAAAACAGCTACCCATTTCATGCATGTCTGTCTACAAAGACTAAGTGCAAACGCTAACAGCTAGCACAAGCATATGAAAAATCATAAAGAAAATACATTATTATCACAAAAATAATTACTACTATTAGAAATTAAAAGGCATACTGTTGATCCTACATCAACTTAAACAGCTACTAATGCTTCAGTTTTCCATACTAAATTGTACAACACGTGGTTCAGAATATATGTTGCCCATAACAAAGTTGGTTTTAGCATTATAACTATATTTTAATCTCTTTTTTGCTTTGGTTGAGATCATTGGAAGTGAACACAGTTTCTCCCCATCACAAGCTTCGCATCAAACCTAACTGGGAGTGTTTCCCTTGCTTCCTTCTACAAGGAACATAAAAATACGGGTGCAAAATTGTGCTCAGAGTCTCAGATCAAGTATTATTCAATCATTTCCCCCTTCCTAATGCCAACATGCGTAGTTAAATACACCACAATTTTTTCAACTTTATCCCACTTCAAAGGATAAAAGTCCCATTTGTATGATAAATACCCATTGAAACTTAAACTGCCTATCACAAAGATGGAAGTAATTTACCAATACAACAATACACATATTCTCATCAACGTCACGCTACTGGGTGATGAAGGGTTGGCGTGTTGGGAAAGATGAAAGGGTTCTATGTCATTGCACAACAGTTTTTTGCATTCAAGAATAGGAAAAGTACCTCAGTTCCAAGTCGCTTATTTAGAGCTTCATTCCACATATTTGCAACATATGTCGGCTGCACTCTAGTCCACATAGACTTGACAGAAATGACCTGTGAATAGAGTCTGCCAGTTAGAAATTTAGCAAAGTTCTCAACATCCTCGCATTTATTCACATGTAATGCAAATGAATGATGGTATCAAGTAGATAGAATTTTTTCACCGGCAAAAATGAAACAGTGAACATGACTGTCAAAGCACAAAAAAATAAAACAGGAACGAAAAAAGTGACTCCTAAAATTAATAATTCTGGCAAACTATGCACAGTACAAGTCGTGCTAAGCTACTCATCCATTTGTTATTACTGTAGCCAAAAGAATTTCACTCAAAATAGTGAGGATTTATAAACCCCATTGTTTACATTCATATGCATGTGCACTTTCAACACACTATCCACATGTTACCTATGTAATGAAACTATTATAATTCCAAAGCAATGACCATAATAGAACCATATCACCAAATCCAATCAAACCAAAAGGCTTCTGAACCAAGAAAACCTACTAAAATAGTCAAGAAATGCACAGTATTTAGTAGCATGGCATATGCATCATGGAAAGCCAAGTTTAAACTTTAATACAATATATTAGAAAAATATCAAACTTAAGCATACCAAGTGAGCATCAAGAGGTGGTGGATAGTTGTCAGCAATGGTATCAATCCAACTAAAAATCATGTTGTGATAACCATATGGCTTCCCTGCCATGCTCCGAGCATATGCCCATGCTGCAGTCGAATTAAATTTAGCACGCACATCTGGATGTAAGGGCAGCAACACTACCTATGGATTGGATTCATCCTTAAGAGACAATTCCCACCATTCATCCCATGGAATTACCACAATAATTTCTTCACCCTGAAACACAACCAAGACAATATAAGCATAAAAGCTAAGAACATGTTCACATAAATATGGTATAAAGACAATATGATGTTCACACTGCTAAATATGAAGGCCAAAAAAAAAGGAATCCACCAATAAACTCAATCCAAGAATTGTTCAAATATTTCCATGACTATAAAACCAAAAAGGAAAGTTCATTCCAGAAACCAAAATTTGAAAACCTACCTATCTTTTCAAATTTGTATTTTCCAACGCCCCTCACACGTGTTTGCATACATGATATAAGCACTACAATTCTACAATTCAGTTGTTTTAAACTAAAATTCTTTCCTTGCCAATTCCAACTTTTTAGGTTTATGAATTCATGCCAATAAGCACACAAATCTAACATGGCTCTAAAGTATAACGTATTGGGTAATTATATGTCTATGGCCATGTTAGGAGTTGGTATTGTGCATGCTTGTCCATATACCTTTTCATTCTCATGTCCAGATTCACCAACCCAAAGATTACCTTGTTAGGCCAGAAATGTGAAAATGAGAATATATATTCAGGAAGTTTTTGTAAAGCTACCCGACTAGTTAATCTCCTATAATCAATTCAATTAAAAAACTAAATAAAAAACACAAATTGAATAATATTACCAGTGGATATACTACAATCCAGGGATCAACAATTCTAAATCGCCCAAAGAAAATAGAAACTAAAGATAACATGTTCAATGCTTCTGTAAATTTACCCAGATTTATTTTCTCCTACACAAATGATAATTCAAGTAATTATCTTCTAGATGAAGATTTTTTAATCTGATAGTACTGCTTTAATAGTCACAAGCAGCATCGCCACTAGGTGGTCTATCTATTTCGAGAAATGTCAGGAGGCATACTACACAGTTTCATCAAATGAATCTAAACTGATAATATCTCCTATTATTCAATGTTTTTGAGTATTTAGTTGCACAAACGCAACAACTAATCACCACATTTCTAGATTTTAATTTAAAATAATAAAATAAATACTTCCACCTAAGAGATAGAGTTTTCCAACAAATCAAATTCAGTGTGAATCTTGTATGAAGGACAGCAAATCCTATAATTATAACTTCTAAAAAATCCCCCCTAGGCAACACCCTAGTAACTTAGATTGCATTCCTCCAATAAAGATATTCGTATGTGAGGTATCCTTAACTTACCTATTGAAAATAAAATAAATTTATAACTGAGCATAACATGTCCAAGCCTGCATATAGGTAACATATGCAAGCATGGTTGTTAGATTCGTATGATTAACGATTTGGTTCATACAAGATTCAATACGAGTTTCAAACAAACGATTAGAATCGTGTTGGTAATCGGAAATTGAGTAAATCGTGTGATTCAATTTGGAATTCACTATGATTCAGTTATGTTTTTGTTTACATAATGCATGAACTATCGTTTTCACCTCTCATCAAGAAATAAAAGGAGATCAATTAATTATATTGATATACATTAATTAACTGATATACATTGTTCAATGTGATATACAAATTAGTTCTATTGATATTTATTTCATTTTAAACACTCTATGTACTTTTATATTTATAAACATATATAAAATTATAATATAATAAATAAAGTGAATCTTACAATTCATTATTCACTATTTTAGCAAAACGATTCACGATTTGATAACAATGTATGTATGCAAATAAATGATGCTACCTCATTCTAAACCAGTAGGCTTAGATATTGACTCAAATTAGTGTGCTCCAGCACTGGTTTGGCATAGAAAGAGAATGTTAGTCTATATGTATTTTTTGGCCATAGCTCTGGTTTTTCTATGTCATCATGACCCCCATACTCAATTTCAATTTCCATAAACAAAAATACAACATCTCACCTTTCAGCTTAAATTCTTTATTTTCCAAGTTTGATCAACTGTATGAATTTCTTAAATTCTATATTTTACATTTTTTATCAACAACAAACGTTTTTCAAAAAAATTTAAATTTAAAAAAATATATATATAAACATCAATTAAATCATAGAAAGTAATTTTATTAATCCATTACAGTTGTCTATAATTTTACAATTAGATCAATTTAAACATCAAAATATATTAAATTTATACTAATCTAAAATTTAAAAACAAGGAGAGCAATTCAAAGTACGTTTAACTTTACAATAATATCTCTTTCTTAATATTTTGTGCTTTATGCCAATATATCTAATTATGTTGTAGTTTCAAAAGTTCTTAATACACAAATCAACTCAAAAAGACTTTAGAGAACATAAATTTTCTTGTTCCACCCCTGCTCATGACCTCACAGCTCAATTCTTTTCAAAGGGCCAAGACTAAATGTCAATTTGCTGATTAAAAAAAGAACAAAATCAAGGTCAATTAGGATCCCACCCCTCCTTGTCAAGAAATTGGTCCTGGTGAGTTTAACTTGTTTATAATAGCTACTTCTATGTGGCACAAAAGGTTATGGCCTATCAAAGAAATTAACACCTCTTTACACCCAAATTGGAATGTTTAATCAAGATGTTGAATAGTTTTTATACGTAAGTTTCTACTAGTAAAGAAAATAAACATCAATTTAGTCTTACATCAAAGTTGATGGACAATTAAATCCATACACTATCACTCTCTGTTAAACCAACTTAAAAAATATATATATATATATATAAACATCAATTAAATCATAGAAAGTAATTTTATTAATCCATTATAGTTGTCTATAATTTTACAATGAGATCAATTTAAACATCAAAATATATTAAATTTATACTAATCTAAAATTTAAAAACAAGGAGAGCAATTCAAAGTACGTTTAACTTTACAATAATATCTCTTTCTTAATATTTTGTGCTTTATGCCAATATATCTAATTATGTTGTAGTTTCAAAAGTTCTTAATACACAAATCAACTCAAAAAGACTTTAGAGAACATAAATTTTCTTGTTCCACCCCTGCTCATGACCTCACAGCTCAATTCTTTTCAAAGGGCCAAGAGTAAATGTCAATTTGCTGATTAAAAAAAGAACAAAATCAAGGTCAATTAGGATCCCACCCATCCTTGTCAAGAAATTGGTCCTAGTGAGTTTAACTTGTTTATAATAGCTACTTCTATGTGGCACAAAAGGATATGGCCTATCAAAGAAATTGACACCTCTTTACACCCAAACTGGAATGTTTAATCAAGATGTTGAATAGTTTTTATACGTAAGTTTCTACTAGTAAAGAAAATAAACATCAATTTAGTCTTACATCAAAGTTGATGGACAATTAAATCCATACACTATCACTCTCTGTTAAACCAACTTAAAAATACTTAGGCAAGGAACCACAATCTGATGAACATTTTGCTGTCCAGATATGGAGGCAAAAAGGGTTTACGTGAACTTCAATAGATATAATTATTAATTGCATCCGGTGCTTTCTCTTTCCAATATTCAATGCAAGATAATCAAATATCAACGCAAGTGGTCAATTAGTAACATGTGAAGTATTCCAAACCTGGATACCCAATAACACCAACAATATATCTCCACGCTTCACGCCAGAGTGGAACTTGGAAAATTCAGCATCATCCAACACTGATGTCCTGCAATAGCAAACATAAATTCAAAATTTCCTCATTTTGGTAGTAGAAATAAAACAAAATATATGGAATATGATTTTAGTGACAGTAAAGTAGAATATGGAGAAGTGAAAATAGAAAACCAATAAAGAGACTGCGAGCTGTGCAATGGCGAACGGCCAGGGCTCGTTTGCCCTTTCGGCTGCTCCTCTGCCGCTTGCCGTCGATCGAGAGAGTGAGGCGGGGTAAGAAGAGATGAGGGATTTTTGGGTTTGAGATTGGGGATTTTTTTGTTTTGGGAGGGGGGGAATGGAACAAAAAAGGTGGGGGAAGGGAGTGGGAATGGAAAGGGAATAAAATATATATATGAAAAAAAATTGGGGGAAACATAGCGGGAAAGGAAAAAAAAAATTCGGTCACAAATGAAATTTAAACAACAAAACGTGGTTTAACCTTTTTTTTTTTGCGACAGGGGTTGCCGTCGCCAAAAAAAATTCTTTTTTGTTAAAATATATATTTTTTGTAGTTAATGAATTTTTAAAAAAAAAATCTTTTTTTTTTAGTTACTAAAATTGAAAATTTATTTGTTTCATTTTTATTTTAATGAAAAAAAATATTATTATTTTTTATTTGGTAGAAGTAGGGGTAAAAAAGAATTTTTTTTTTGTCAGAAATGAAATTTAAATAACAAAATAATGTCGTTTAACTTCTTTCTTTTTTTTTGCGACAGGGGTTGCCGTCGTCAAAAAAATTTATTTTTTGTTAAAATATATATATTTTTTGTAGTTAATGAATTTTTTTTTAAAAAATTATTTTTTTTTAGTTACTAAGATTGAAAATTTATTTGTTTCATTTTTATTTTAATGAAACAAATATTATTATTTTTTATTTAGTAGAAGTAGGGGTAATATTTTAATGAAAAACATTTTCCACTAAAATAAAATTTAATTTTCTGTGGTCCATGAAAAATATTTTTTTACGGCCCATTTTTTTTTGTTATTAAAAATCATGAACTAATTTTTTTGTGATAGAGGAGAGGGAGTGACAGTAGTGGTGAAGGTGGTAGATAAGAGATGATGGTGATGGTGGTGGTGGTGGTGGCGGCGGCGGCGGCGGCGGCGGCGAAGGAGATTAGTGGTGAAGTTGTAGTAGTGGTAGAGTAGATGAAGTGGCAAGGGTGAATAAGAGGTAATGGTAGTAGTAGTGGCAGTAGTGGTGAAGGTGATGGATAAGAGATGATGGTGGTGGTAGTGGTGGTAGCGAAGGAGATTAGTGGTGAAGTTGTGGTAGCAGTAGTGGTAGAGTAGATGAAATGGCAAGGGTGAAGGAGAGGTAATGGTAGTAGTAGTGGCAGTAGTGGTAGTGGTGGCAATGGTAGTAGTAATGGTAGTCGTAGAGGTGAAATGGCGATAGTGGTAATAATGGTGGTAGTGGAATGGCGTTTGCAGTAGTGGTGAAGGTGGTAAAGGAGATGAGTGGTAAGAGAGAGAAAGATGAGTGAGAGACAGATAGAGGAGAGAGAGAGAGAGATAAAGACAGAGTGATGAGCGAGAGAGAGACAAAGTGGTTGCTAAAAGTGCATTTTCTTGTAGTAGATAGATAAATCGAGAGGGAGCTCAGTAAATAGAGAAGACGGAAAGGAGAGAGTGAGCAATACGAACACAGTGGGAGAGAGAAGAGAGAGAGAGGGACAAAAAGATAAAGAGATAGAGAGTAAGAAACAGAAAAAGAGATAGAGATAGAAGAAAGATGAACGAAAGAGACAGAGAGAGAGATACAGAGAAGAGAGATGAGCGAGAGAGACATAGAGTGAAGAGACATGAACGAGAGAGACAGAGAGAGAGAAGATAGAGAGAGACAGAGAGAAAAGAGATAAGCGAGAGAGACAGAGAGAGATAGAGAGAAGAGAGATGAGCGAAGAGACAGGGAGAGAAAAGAGATGAGAGAAGAGATAGATGA